TGAGCTGCAGCAAAATGCAATTGCAATTAATCAGTTGAATGGTTTTCTATTGATTTTAGAATTAGGGCTGGGGGCAGAGGTACCAGCAAACTTACTGCATGGTAAAAACAGTGATAGAAATTCACAACGCAAAAAAATAGATGTAATTATTTGGAATTAAATCAGATAATAGACCAGGGAAGCTAAGACGTTTTAGAAAACAAAATAAAAAGGTTATGATGAGCTGTTGGAAAATAAGATTTAGTACATATCATACAATGGGCAGTGATGTTTGGAGTCTGTTTTAAGTCTCTTTTGCTCTTTTCTTCTAACAAACTGTACTAAAAATACTGTTTGTTGCATTTTGAATTAAAGACAAACTCTTAAGCAAATTTATAATCACAAAGTCTGAGACTCATGCAGTGAGAATGGAATTATTTGCTATATTGGTATAGTGAATTCCCGTTCACGTGTCACATAAACGAGCATGCAATCGCACTATTTGAGTGGTTACGTGTTTATTGTAGATATTTGACGTATTACCGAGAATTCAGTAGTTTATCAATTTAAGTTAAAATTCAGTGTTATTATCCAGCTCTTCATGGCATAAACACTCTTGCATGCTAAACAGCTGATTGAGACTGCTCGCTCAACAGGCTACAAAAATAACAAGCAGAAATCTAATGTTATTCACTAAACAATCATCTGTGCTGCACTGTAAACTGAATTGCAGAAATTGGGCAAAAGGTGCTGATTTGGAAAAAACCTCCCGCTTACTATGGCTTACTATTAACTCATGCAGTCTTTCAGATCAGCTCCCTTTTTTATTATTTTACCAGCTTTGGACACAATGTGTGCATCTGTGTTGCCACCTAGTCTATTGACTTGTTCACTCTTAGTACTTCTATTGTTGTTCGTTCTGTGTTTTGTTAAGATGTTAGATATGCCACTTGATATCAGGGATAGGCAACTTATATATCAGGGATAGGCAACCTTCGGCACTACAGATGTTTTGGACTACACCTCCCATGATGCTTTGCCAGCATTATGGCTGTCAGAGCGTTGAGGGAGATGTAATCCACAGCATCTGGAGTGCCTAAGGTTGCTACCCCTGTTATATTAGTCTTGTGGTTTTTTTTTCTTATTTGATAGTTATACTTTGAAGCAAATTCCTATCTTTTATTTGTACAGTATAGCAGTGGTCACCAATCCGGTTACAGACAGCCCCAAAGCTGCCATCCCTAAATGAATTTTGACTTCCATTTTCACCAGTTTGTGTTTTTGCAAGTTTCTGTTTCCTTTATCAAGTGTAGCCTACTGTTTTGCAGAATTAATGTAATAGCATTTCTACAGTATTTGGTTTAAAGATAAATAAACATAAATAAACAAATTTAAAAAATGTTTAGGAGATATAACCCTAATTAAATCATGCATGGATTTAATTATGCATTTTTTTCCACATGGGTATATCTAAAACCAGCTGGTAAAAGCTACAGTTCTCTTTTCTGCAGTCTTTACAAGCCCTCCCCTTCTAACCCTGCCCAGACTTTCTGTGATTGTCCAATCACATGCTTCCCAGTACAGCTCAATGAGAAGCCTTTGTTTAGAGACTGAGCTAAACAATCCAGAAGTAACAGGACTGGTTGTCTGATTAAATTCCCAGATTTTACTATTATTTTACCGCATAACTCTTTCTTTATTCCCTCAGCAGCAAGATAGAGGAATATAAATATTATCAAAATGAAAGAAGAAAATGTATAGGCACACAGGCAACCAATCACATAGCAGAGGAAATGACTATAAAAGGCCTGTGTCTCCCACAATCCCCCTCTTTCTAGCGAAAACCGAAGACTAGGAAACATGAATGACATCCCACTTGGCAAGAACAGGAAACAGGAACAAATCAATAACTTCAAGCTAAAAGAGAGAGAGAAATATGGTAATAACCAAACTCCAAATTGAAGACTTACCAAACAATTATGTCAGTTGCTAATCAGAAACTTAAACCTGTAATACAGAATATATGATTAATATAGAATTGTATACAACCAAAACATCAACGAGTAAGTATAAAATCCACACGCATTACACAGTAAACAGACCAGATTGCAACATACCTGAAAAGTCCAACAGCATCTCATCCAGTGACCCAACACAGGGAGGGCGGGTGGGAATAATACTCGCCTCCGTGTCTTTAATAAAATCATGACTTTACGTCATGTTAATAGTAAAATCTGGGAATTTTATTAAAGACACGGAGGCTCCTATAATGCTAGTTTAAAGCTGCGCTATTACTTGAGATGCGATTTGCTCAATTGGTCTGAAATAGAAGTTACGGAAGGTCGATTCCTGAGACCAATCCGCCGCCCGCATAATGTCTTCTAGATGTCAGCCGACTGAATGAGGCGTGAAAATAGTAGTGTCAACTCCTGCTAAAGATAGAAGCCAGCGCACCCAACGTGCAAGAGTCGGGGTCGATACAGGTTGGTAAGGCGACCTAAAGGAAACGAATAACGGATGCAAATCCAAGGAACGAAGAGACTGTGTAGCATCCTGATAAGCCTTTAGACAATCCACTGGACAGAGTGCTGGACTCCCTGAGAATCTAGGGTACACAAATGGCTTGGATGCCGATTTAGTCCTCCTGGATATGTTGAAAAAAAACACCTTCAGGAGTAAAAGTAATGGCGTCCCAATCAAGGGCTCTGACGTCAGACACTCTCTTACATGAAATCAAGCAGAGTAGCATCACAAACTTAGAGGATAACTGTTTAAGTGTCAGTCCTTGGTTAGGGTACCATGATGATAAAAACTGTAGCATCACGTTGACGTCACAGAAGGCAGAGAAATGAGTCCTAGGTGGGCGAGCGAGGCGAATACCGTTGAGAAGGCGGCATACAAAAGGATGTCTGCCGACGGGTGAACCATCCAAACCCTTATGGCCTGCTGAAACTGCCGAACGGAAAAAGGTTGCCCGAATCGAACATGTGAGTGAGGAAATCTAAGATCATATGGAGAGGTGCTGATATGGGATCCACTGACTGTCCCATGCACCAACCAGACCACGAACTCCAAGAAGATCGGTAGGCTGCTCTTGTACCTGGAGCCCATGAGTTATCGAGGAGTAGGAGAGTCGATTGCGAAACGTTTGGGACATCCCAAGGTCCCCTGAAAGGAGCCACGCCATCAGGGGCAGCTGGCCTTGTAACACCAGTCCGTGCAAGTTCCCATCTGGATCCAGAAGGAGTTCTTGGAAACTCGGGATCAATTGTGGATAATCTATCGACAACTCCAGCAGTCACGGGAACCACGGTTGAGACCTCCACAGAGGGGTGATCAACATCAGAGAACAATCGTGACGGACCAGTTTCGAGATCGTGCAAGCAATCATGTTGAATGGGGGAAAAGCATACAGGCAACCCGTCGGCCAATCCTGAAGGAAAGCGTCTGTCGCCACCGCATCTGGGTCTAGTCTCCAACTGTAAAAGTTTGGTAACTGAGTGTTCAGGCAGGATGTGAACAAGTCTATCACGAACCGACCCCATAACATGTCCAGACTCCGAAACACCGATACTTGTAAGTGCCAATCTCCAGAGTCTCGCAAATGTCTGGAGTTCCAATCCACACTCGAATTGTCCAGACCTGGGATGTGTTCCGCTGTCACAGAGACATTGTTGTACAGACAGAACTGCCAGAAATCTTTCGCTAAAAGAGCCAACATCTTGGATTTGGTTCCCCCCAGGTGGTTTATATAACGCACTGCCGACACATTGTCCATCTTGAGGAGAACTCAGCAATCCGCTCGGCCCAGAGTAAGGCTGTGAATCGCGAAGGCACCCGACAAGAGTTCCAGGCAGTTGATGTGCAAGGTCCCTTCTAGCTCGGACCATCTGCCGCTGGTGGATACGTTGCCACAGCATGCCCCCCAACTGTGTAAGCTGGCGTCGGACTCGATCACCATATCCGGTATGGATCCAAATATTGCGCGCCCGTTCCAAGCTTCCATGTGGGCCAACCACCACACCAGCTCGTCTCTGGATTTGTTGTCCAGCTGTATCCTGGAGTTGTATGAATGACCTGAACGGAGGTGCAAAACCTTTGAGTCGCTGGAGGGCCCGGTAGTGCAATAGTCCTGGAAAGATCACCTGAATTGAGACCGCGAGGAGACCGATAATCCTTGCCAACTGCCTGATGGACAAGTCCGCTACCCGAAGGGCCCTCCGAAGCTCCTTTTGAATGGCTTTTATCTTGGATTCTGGGAGAAACAGGAATTGTTGAATGGAATCCACTTTGAACCCCAAGAACTCTACCGACTGAGCCGGGGTCAGGATTGACTTGTCCCACTTGATCATGAACCCCAAGTTCTGAAGCAGGTTGACCGTCCAATCCACATGTACCTGCAGCTGGTCTCTGGACTGGGACATGATTAGAATGTCATCCAGGTAAATAATCAGGCATACACCATGCGTACGGAGGAAGGTCACCACCGGTCTAATGATCTTGGTGAAGCACCAAGGATCTGAGGATAGACTGAACTGTAGACATGTAAAATGCCACCGTCTCTCATGACAGGTGAAGTGGAGGTAGTCCCTGTGTTCCACCGTGATGGGCACCGTGAAATATGCGTCCTTCAGATCTAGATTGGCCATCCAATCGGATGTACGGAGGAGGTCTCTGAGGCAATGTATGCCCTCCATCTGAAAATGCTGGTACCGGAGGAACGCGTTGAGGGGTCAGAGATTTATCACCGGACGGACACCTCCCCCTATCTTTGGTACCAGGAAGAGATTGCTCGTAAAGCCTGGGGCAGCAAACGGCAACTCCTCTATGGCGCCTTTTGACAACATCTCTCTGATTTCTGCGGAAATCATCTACACCTGTTCCAAGGGAAGGGACAATTGTCTGGGGATAGACAATTGGACAGGCAGAGATACAAACTCGAGGTGATAACCCCTTACTGATTGTAAGGCCAACCTTCCCGCCACCCGTACTTGAGCGAGAAGGGAAGAATGGGTACTCACCATAAGGACAGCTGCCCGAAGTGCAGGGGTATCTGTAACCCCATGACCTCCCTCTAACTGGGAAGAAGGGAAGAGCTCTCAGATCCTGGAAGCCCTGGGAAGGGAAAAAGGAACCTCTGTTGGCTCGGAATGAGCCTCGGAATCCACGGCCGGGTGGACGGCTCCTACTACGCCTGGCTCCTCCGAAAATCTTAGTTGCAAACATGCGCTTCATATTGGCCTGGGCTTTATCAATGGCCGTGAAGGTTTTAACGTATGACCCCAGGTCCTTCACGAAGGTATCACCAAATAACATCTTATCGTTGGATGAACTCGGCTCCGCCACCTTCATGGCAGCCAACTTAGGGTCGATTTTTAGCAAAATTGCTTTATGTTTCTCCGCTGATATAGCAGTATTCGCATTCCCCAGAAGACAAATAGCCCGCTGGACCCATCCTCTGGCCACATCGACATCCAGGACCGAGTCGCCAGCTCTAGCGGCATCCAGAAGCTCATACAGCTTCGACAAAGGACCCACGGTATCCAAAATTTTGTCCTGGCATCCCTTTAGGGAGTAGTCCAGGCCCTTTTTTGGTTTCCAGCCTGACTTGTTTAGAAACTGCGCGATCTGGGGGTCAATCTCAGGGGTCTTGGGGAAGGCCTGGGGCATTCAGCGCGTAATTTATTGCGGCCCTCCTTAGAAAGGGGGGTGCGCATGCGTCGTGCAACATATTGGGCCTGGGGGCTCCCACTCGGCTGACCGGGGGTGACGTAGGTCATCTGGGTCGAACAGGGGGTTGCCCTGCGGATCCAACAGTGCCGCACTATCCCCAGTGGGGCCAGATAGAAGACCTTGTGTAGTGGTAGAGGTCCCAGAAGGGGTCACACCCGTATAAGAGTTATGCATAATAGGAGCCTCCATGTCTTTAATAAAATCAAGGTTCATTTTAAGAATGCCAATTATCCCTAAGGTGCAATTAATTCAAATATATAAGCATAGCTGCTTACTTTCTAATAAGTTGTTTTGCTTTTTTTCCAGACCCTCATTTCTATCACTCCGTGGTACCTTGGCATTTAACTATTTTGTTCAAATCTCCAGATTAAAGTTTGTATTATCACAGGGCTAAGTTATGGGAGTAGGGTTTTTGACAATTCCCATTGTCTGTAGAACATAATTTGCATACAATTTTGTAGCAATTTGGTTGTAAGGGAATAGTCAAATTAACAAAAAAAAATTGACTAATTTAAATGGACAGCTAAACTTCAAGCACATGGAAATGCAAACTTGGATTTAAAAAAAATGACTTTTATATTCCGTTGAATTGATTACATTTGCTTAAAACTGACAAATTGAGACAATGAATATCAGTCAGCTACCGTTTGGTTGCCATTTTCAGTTTCGTGAACAAACCCGCAATTTATTAGTCAAACTACTGTTTTGGATCTGGTGCCCATTAAAGTCACCTTGGTCAATTTTCATGACAAACAATCCATAGTTTTTCTTATCACCTGGCTGCAACACCTCTAAAGTATTATTTTCTTCCTACTACTGATATAAGTAAAATGTATTTCTAAATGGTCTTTGCTGCTCATCCAGTCATTGCCAGTACACATTCTTCCATGCCAATATCAGTATAATATCTTTACTAAGAGCTTCAAACATTACAGTTTATTACATAAATTCAACTATATTGGTATTATTTTTTCTTTTTTGGTAAATGGCATCTTTTTGTGTGTTGTTGTAATCCCTAAGAAAGCACCAGCAATAACTACCTAATTTAACATCGGCAAGCGTTGATGTCATAATTAAGTCATAGCTACTAACATATGTCGCAACCTCTTTCGGCATTTAATAATGTTCTGTCTGTTACACTTTGAATGGGCTGGTGATCTGAACACATTGCTATTGATTGATACAGATAGCAAGTACTTCTCATTTCAGTATAAGCACGTTCCACTGGCAAAAGCAATAGCTGTCTATCCCAGCATTAGTGCTTCCCCGATGTGTTTCTCAAATGCCTCACTACCCAGCATTAGGTCTTCTTCTTATATGTGTGCAATAGATTATACAGTGAGAATATATCACAATATACAGACAGTCTATACCAAACAAAATAACATTTTATAATATTACTCCCAGCCACAATGGAATTGTATTTAGTGTTTTAATTTGTGTTGTTCTGTCTACAGAACAACATGGATCCACAGCATTCAGACAGGCTAACTGTGGGCATTAGAAAACTCTCACAGGTACCTAAATACTATACAAACAGCCTTTCTACTAAAATATACAGACATGCATATATAAGCAATACAATAAGCACACAGTGTATATTGCCTCACACAGACAGTGTATACCATGTAAAATACTGACAGTACAGTCTATAACAGGGGTTAGCAACCTGTGGCACCTGTGCCACGCATGGCACTTGAGGTGCCTTTGCACAGCACTTAAGGCTGCCAGAGGCAAACAAGTGCTAGCCTATCAGTCCCAGTGGGACTTCATATATTTGCTAGTACAAACCAATCAGTGATTGCAGGGAAATCCTCAATCTCAGATCACTTCCTCCTAGCGCTTTTGAACTTGAATCCGCACTGAAGTAGAGTAGCCAGCAGGACCTATTACAGCTCCTGCCCTTGACCTATACCTGACTAGCCTGGTCCCTACTGGACCCAGAGAAGCCGCACACAATGCAGAATAAGCTGCAGAATGAGCGTTCACAAATAATACAAACAGCTCACAGACAAACACACCAGTTACAATTCACATGCACACACCCAACCCCACAAGCAGCCTCTCACATGGAACACCACAAGCAGCCAGACACATATACACACCACCAAACACACAATGTAACATAAAATGTCTCATTTTCTAATAATACCTCCTCCCTTTGTCCTGTCTGTTGGAGTTCTCCAAGGCTCTGTACTTGGTCTCCTTCTATTTTCTATTTATACTGCCTCTCTTGGCAAACTTGTTATCTCATTTGGATTCCAATACCACCTGTACGCTGATGACACTAAGATATACCTCTCCTCCCTGGACCTCTCCCCTGCCTTCCTGCAACGTGTCACTGCTTGCCTTTCTTCCATCTCTGATTGGATGTCTTCCCGCTTTCTGAAACTCAGTCTCTCTAAAACTGAACTCCTTGTCTTTCCCCTCTTTTGTTCTCCCTTCATGTGAGTGGTACCCACATCAGTCCACCCTTGTAAGTGTGCTGTCTTGGCATTATACTTGATTCTGGCCTCACATTTGAGATTCACATCCAGTCTGTTATCAAATCCTGTAGATTCCACATTAAAAATATAGCCCGCATCAGCCCCTTTCTTACACAAGATGCTACTAGGGAGCTTGTCCATGCTCTAGTAATCTCTCACATGGATTATTATAACTCTCTCCTAATAGGTCTTCCCACAAGTCGTATTGCCCTGCTACAGTATGTAAGGAATGCTGCAGCTAGACTGATTTTCCTCTCCTGTCGCTCATTTCATACCTCTTCCCTCTGTCAGTCCTTACATTGGCTTCCTGTATCCACGCCTATAAAGCACTGACCAATTCTAGCCCCTCCTATATTTCTTCACTGATCTGCAGGTATGCCCCTTCTCAGCCTCTCTGCTCTGCCCATGACCTTCTCCTGTCCGCTGCTCGCACCCGTACAGCCAACTCATGCTTGCAGGACTTCTAGCGGGTGGCTCCTTTCCTTTGGAATAGCCTGCCTACGACCATCAAGCTTTCCCCTAGTCTTCAATCGTTTAAGAAGTGCCTCAAAACCCATCTCTTTAGGAAAGCTTATGGCCTCCCAGAGTAACCTCTACCTCACATACCTGTCTCTTGCTCTCTCCTAAAGGGCAGCACTTTATTATCTCCTCCAGCTCTGCTTCACTCCACCTTATTTGATTGCTATTTCCTGTCCTGTTGTGCTTTATACCCCATCTCCTATAGACTGTAAGCTCATTTGAGCAGGGTCCTCTTCAACCTATTGTTCCTGTAAGTTTTCTTGTAATTGTCCTATTTATTGTTAAATCTCAACCTTGATAATATTTTAAATATAAATTATATAAATACCAGTAATAATAATAATAATAATAATAATAATAATATCATCCACACACACAATTCCAAAAGCAGCCTCCATACACAGCCCACATTCATAGGTATCATACACAATAGCAAAAATTACTCATGAACATATACAATATCACAGACCACATACACACAAATACAACACTACAGGGCATCTACACCACCAAAAACACAAGAAGAATATTGCAACATACACACCTCAATTAAAACAAATAGGAACGTACACCAAGGGACTTCAAGATCTGGGTTCGGCACAGTACTGCTAAAACGTTGCCTACTCCTGGTCTATACACTGTGTATCACAATATCAATATAGATTATATGAAAACAATTTACAACACATTTTAAATGATATACATATCGTATATTGGGCACAATAAGCAGGCAGTAGATTTTACAATATGCACATACTGTATGATATAAAGTAATAAACGGTAGTTGAGTATTAACAACCAAGTGACAGACTAGCAGTGAATGAGTTAAACTGTCTAGAATCTAAAAACTTTGGAGAGAAACGTAAATTATAATCTTGTTCAAACATCACCTTTCACATCCATATTTTCATCTCGCTCCCTTTTGCCCTCACCCCAATTCATATCACTCAGTTTTATTACTATCTGAAATGAAAGCTTTACGACCAAAAAACTATCCACTCATTGCTTTTCATATTTTTTTTTTTTTATCTTTGGAATTCTGCCATGCATTTATAAATATGTATGCTAATATATCAGATTTCTTGTTTTCCATCAGTATCACAGAGTGGCAAACACTTTGACTGTTACTGAATTTGTAATATTTTAGGTACAGCGATGTTAATGCTAAATTGATTAATTAATTTACCAGAATTAGTTAACTAGTTAGTTAGTTAGTTAGTTAGCTAACTAGCTAGTTATAGCTCCAGGCCATTTTACTGTTATAGCAATATTTATTGGAAAAGGTAAAAAATGAAATAAGAGTATAAAATCACCCTGAAGCTGCGCACATTACTATCTGCCAACCAGTTGCAGTACTTGCTAGTACTAGGAGAATTCTGACCGATATAATGGCGACTTCAAGAGCAGCTCCTCACAACATAGACATCTCAAACGTCCTCCTGTTTGCCCCATGGACAGTGATGGCTATAGTCAAACTATAGATTTTCTTGAGCAGCATGGGGAATGTGGTCGGTATACGTTGGTAACATTGGTGAGAACCTGAATGACCATAACGTCACATTCTATATCATTCTGAGAATTCTATCGAGTGACTTACTACAGGAAGTGTCACATGTGCTGTATTTTACTGCAGAACATCAAGAGACATTTTGCAGAGCATTTTCTGATGTTGGTCAGATGCAAACATGGAGACATCAAAGGAACCATAGATATAAGCTGGCATTTGAAATTGTTAAATATCATGGAAACATTTAAATCCTTACCTGGATCTATTACAGGGTATTGGGGATAATAGATTGAATAGAGTCAGTGAAACTACTGAAATATTCAGGGGTTTAGTCATGAAAAATGAAAAACAGCATCGGCGTGACAGACAGATGATATTCAGTCCTCACAGTTGGGCTGTTTAAACTATTTTGACTATTCATAAAA